TCAAATTGTGCATTACAAAACGAATACATTCATCGTAATTCATTAACAAGATCAATAACTAATTATAATGCTGGAATAGTTGTACCATTTGATATAGTGGTATATTTGGAATACGAATTTGAACAGCAGTGATTCTAATAAAACGTAAATTACAAACTAAAACCTTTGCATTGACATTTTGTTGAAATTACGAGATTTAACATTAATATAATTGGGTTACGTCTGACACAGAATTAAACTACTATTTTGAGAGCGCCATTATTCTCGAACTTAATTTATTGGACAATGATAAAATTGATCGAAAAGATGTGTGGTACCTATATGTATATCTATCATCCGATACACCATGAAATCTACATTTTTTTGACGACTAATGCAGATGGATTAGTTTTAATGTCCCTTAACGGATAGAAAATAAACTGCATACAATGGCAAGATCATTGGAGTCTGGTTTCTAAATATGAAGGGGGTCTTTGGATTAGTTAATCGGTTTCAGGTACGGAAACTTGACAATACGGACCGTAGGGCACAAAAGCGGGGCTCCCATATTAAATCTAATAGCGGCTCTAAAAGTCATTCTTCAATGGTTATTGTTAATGGACTTATTGAAAAAGGACAAATTGCATCGAAAACAGGAAGTTCGTGTTACTACCTATTCACTGTTGACTTTAGAAGCTTCTCAATGAAATCCTGCTTAGAATGAAAACCATTATCTCCACAACCCCCCCCCCCTTCCTTCCTCACATCTTATTGTCACGTTATATGTGCTGTACTTTTACATATTTCGTAGGCAATATAACTTTTTATAAAACGCCGAGCCTTTAGAGTGATTTTTGTCTGAAATCACTGAAAATCACTGCAATATAACATTTACTATGTTAAATTATGTTAGGATAAGATTGATTTAGATCACCTACAGTAGCTTTATAATACGACCGATTATACAAGGCGTATTGTAAAATAACAAATGCGGCAATAGTCGCTTCGTAAAATGCCTAGACTTATAACAAAACCTTTGAATTCTTCTATTTGACAAAAGAAAAATGTTCCGGAAGTTACGCATAATCGACCTAATAAAAAGTTTGCCGCGACAATACTTAAGGCGAGTTTCGAAATAGTTGAGCATCCGCCATTTTCGCCAGATTTGACTCCTAGAGATTACTGATTGTTTCCAAAACTTAAAGCATCCTTGCGTGGTAAACGATTTTCGTCAGTGATTTTCAGAGACTAAAAAATCTTTTTTTCCGGGAGGCGTTAGAAATTCTGGAACATCGATGGTAAAAAGAGTGTTGACCTTAGTGGACACTATAAATATTTGTGAATTTGTTATTGTAACTAGGTCAAGGGTCAGCCCTCGTATCTTATAATGACACTTATAGTTCTTGCGAAATATAACTTTAATACAAACTCTTTTACCTAATTATAACTATTCGTTTCTAAAATACATTTGGACTGTTTTTAAAGTCATGTAAATTCTTGTACGTATTAGATTCGTTATTCTTAAGTGTTCTACCTTATTTGTTACGATCGTTTTTGATGGCATCTTTAAATCTCTTGTGTTAAAGTTAGGGTATAGAAGGTATTTAGCGCTAAAAGGCGGATTTATGAAATAGATCGGTGTCAAAGTCCAGGTGGTAGAGCCGGCTGCAATTGGCATTATGTTTGGTGTGCTCCAGTGACTCTCTCTGTCCCTAATAATTTTCTGCATCACTGCATTAATACGACCCCCTACAAATGACAACCGTCTCACCTTCCTTGTCTGGACCATTTCCGACTCAACAAACATGTATTTATATCCATAACATTAGTAGTTCCTTTACAAAAACGTAGTAGCATTAATTGCCGAAAACACTTACAATAACCAAACCACAACGTATTTGTTGTTCTCAAAATTTGCACCAAACTACAACCAACAAAATTTAAACTATCGTAGTTCAGTTAATGTAGGTGTGTAGCGGATGAATTGATCATCCGACAAGATTGTGTTATGATTCAGAATATCATTCCTGTGAGTAGAAAAAAAACAGAATAATAGCCATTGAAATAGCCATATTTATGTGGTGCCATTTTAAAAAAGGAAACAACTGATTTGGGTAAGTCATACAGGCATAACTATACGTCAATGCAAAAAATGTGTTGCAGCATTAAGAGAACAGCCACATCGTACTTTGACGTTTATTTACAGCGACATTTATCATACATCAATCAACCACAACGCGATAACACAACGTAAAAATTGTGTTGCAGTATTTAGAAAACAGCTGCAAATTATTTTAATTTATTACTTAGATGTACTTATTACCAAAACGCGATCTAGCCAATTATTAATAGATGTATCTACCTAGTACCTACTCGTAAGCTTATTTTATTTTTATTTTTTTCCTTGCAGCATACGACGCTCGTTCATAATAAATTTTAGTTAGGTGTTATTAGGCACTCTATACAGGTGGAATATTAATGATGACTTTTGTGTTGGAGTTAATAGTATTTTATTCGGTGTCCAGCTACTGTGTTGACCCAGGTGAATCATTCGTTTTAACTATATCTACGATACAAAAGATTTATTCAGATTTATATTCCTTTTGAATTTCCACCGGCTTCTTTTGAAACTATTGTTGCGGTAGTATATAACAAGTACCAGAATGTTACATTCTATAAAACTCATTTATAGATTCAAAAATACGAGGGCCAACGAAACACGGCTCCGCAATTTTGGACAGAGTTCATTTTAAAATTATTCGAAAACGTTAATTACCTATAACAACTGATCAATTAAGAGAAATGCATTCAAATATTTCTATATATATATATATATAAAGTTAGCTATTAATCATGTAAATTCTTTAAAGACAGCGCCCTTGGTAATTATTAATTGTTATTTAGTTGGTTTGTGTTACGCTATACTTAGGTTTTTAGACAAAGAACGGTTTTGAGTTGAAAAAAAAAATACATAATTCACACAGTTATTGAAGAAACTGTAACTGCTTATATATACATATAGGAAGCTCAGGGTAAGAGGCTGCCCGTAAGAGATGGCGACGTATCCAAGGCAACGTTCTGGCGCCTAACTTTCCTCCCCTTTCGGCGTACATTTCTGATAAACTGAAACTCAATTTTACAAGCCAACGGTAGTTGCTACATGTGTTTATAACCATGTGGAATCCTAAATGGCTGTTTCTTACATGAGCAATAATTCTCCTTTAACATAAACTGATTTAATTATACAGGTAGGGCGAAACATTCGCAGATCATAGAAATTACACACTCTTTTGGTAACTGTATAATTTGATGAACGTGTGGGATAATTTTTTCAACCACGTCTATCTGCAATATCACCCGCTTCTCCGAAAACTATCCGAACCCACGAAATTTTGTAAACAACTCTCAAAGGCTTTAAATTGCATTAATTGGATTGGTATTATTTTTTTTTATTTATATGAGGCGATGGCGAATTTTCATATAGCCGCCTTTTGATGATTTCTTATGGTACAAAATAAAATATCCCTATAAATGTTCGGCTGTGAACTCGCCACTAGTGTATAAGGTCTGTTCAAAAAGCATCGCGAATTTTGTGTTTTTCAAAAAAAATTATTTACTCGTGAATATCTATTTTATCCTCTTCAAAGTAATCTCCACCAGATATTATACACATGTGCCAACGTTTTTTCCAATCATGGAAGCACTTCAAAAAATCATTTTTTATAATCATGTTCGGCTCTTCCTTCGATGCCGTCTTTATCTGCTCAATCGTAGCGTAACGTCGTCCGTTCATGGCTTCTTCAGTTTTGGGAACAACAAAAAGTAACAGGGGGCCAAATCTGGGGAATACGGTGACTGCGGCATTATTAGTGTATTGTTTTAAGTCAAATATTCGCGCACAAGCAACGATGTGTGAGCAGTGACGTGTTATCGTAGTGCAAAAGCCAATTTTTGTTCTTCCACAAATCCGGGCGTTACTGGCGGACTGCTTCGCGCAAATTACGCAGAACTTGCAGGTAATATTCTTTATTGACCGTTCTATCCTGTGGCAAGAACTCATTATGCACCACGCCCCTGCAATCGAAGAAAACTGTAAGCAAAGCCTTTACATTCGACCTAGCTTGACGCGCTTTTTTCGGTCTTGGCTCGTGCGGCAGATTCCATTGAGACGATTGAGCTTTGGTTTCCACATTATAATCATAAACCCATGATTCGTCACCAGTTATGACCCTCTGGAGCAAATTTGGGTCGTCGCGGACAGAGTCCAACAGCTCCTTAGCAATATTAATGCGATGCTGTTTTTGATCGAAATTGAGCAATTTTGGTAGGAATTTCGTGGCGACCCGTCTTATGCCCAAATCATTCGTAAAAATCGAACGGCAGGAGCCAATCGATATGTTTAGGTCCTCAGCAACTTCTTTAGCGAAGTGATTCGACGATTGACCAATACTATTTTCTTCACTTCATCAATGTTTTCGTCTGCTGTTGACGTGTTCGGGCGTCCGGCACGCCGCTCTTGGTCGTTCTCATCTTCTCGGCCCTCTAAGAACATTCTGACCACCGATAAACGTTGCTTCGGTCTAAGGTAGCTTCACCATACATAACAGTCAACATTCGGAATGCGTCCGCGCACTTATTTTTGTTTTTCACACCAAAATTTGATACAGATTCTTGGACAAAACTCGTGCAAAGCAGCTGTCAAAAATTAACTGAACATTCAGCTTGACCGAACTTGTCGGTATAAGTGAGAGACATGAGTACCAACATAACGCCACAAAAAATTGAAAATCGAATATATGTAACACGCGGAAATTCAAACTTTGCTATACTTTTTGAACAGGCCTCTTATACAGGTACGCAATATTTATGATGACAGACAAATGCTTGATCGGTGGGTGTCTTTTGTGTTTGCACTTTGAAATGTAAAGAAATTTTGTATTGGTCGGGACGTTAAAGAAAAAAAAAAAAGAAATGGTAAAACTTATTTATTACATACTTAAGTCAAAATTTTACGTCAAATTCATATGTCACAGAATTTTACTTAACCTATCTTTGGTGATGCTTGTAAGTAACTTCAAATATTTAACATTTATTTTATAATAAACACCTGATAAAGGCAAGTAAGGATAACATTGTTTTGGCATTTTACAGAACAAAATTGCTATAAAACTATTGATTTAATCATTACTAATTACAGTTCATAATAATAGTTCGTGAAAAAGTTTTTCCCTCGTCTGATGAGCCGCTGTTGTTAAATTACAGTTTCTAGGTAACTGATCCTGAATAAGGTTATTGGGGATAACACAATTTCGGTATCCCTATATCGGTATGTGCGCACTAATACTGTTATTGAAGATATTTTATTTTGAAATTAATCGGTGATTTTTGTCTTTTCTGTTTTCGTCTATTATGCAGTTATTTAGCATATACATCGCTCAAAATGGGCCCTTAAGTACGTTTTTATTCAATTAAAATTCATTCTTCCACGGCTACTTGATTACAATGAATTCGCGATTCTCAATACCTGCTACGCAAGTTTTATAATCCATTAAAAAATCACTATTATTTCCGGTTGAAATGGGCTGGAGTTAAACAAGGAGTTTATGTAAGTTGCCATTGTAATCTAGTGAGCCGCTACATAAATGTACGATATTACGTTGTGGCGACAGCGTCTTCTAGAATCTTACATGATAGCATACGTATACATTTATTTATAAGGTGTATATATAACATTTGTACAATTGAACTTCACTGTTCACTTTTAGGGTGAAGAAGTTCACGAAATCATGGAGATCATCACTAAACCGTATTTACATAAATGTATTTACATAACTAATACTTCACTGAATGTTCTGTCTTTTGGCTGCGTGTTCCTCTTCCACATCGGAAATTACGTCACTGTTTTCGTCAGTTTGGTTATCCAACACCTCCTGTTTCCGCTTGGCTGTTGCCATTTCAGCCGCATGCTTCTTTCGCCATTTTGTTCTTCTATTTTGGAACCAAACCTGAAAAGAAAAAATCGGCATGAGACTAGCTTAAGGCTTTATCGCTTTTCCTACTGGTACTATATGAAATTATCTTAATAGCGTTGTGGTTGTAGATTGTTCTACTTATTGTTAGTTTGCTACGAGACTGGCCTGACTTCGACATTGTGGTCTCATATTCGTTTAGATACATTGCTACGTTGTTGTGTACGTTGCGTTTTAGAATTATTCTGAATGCTAAATTATGATTAGATTTTGTATTACGTTGTCAACCTCAACTTTCGACATCTTGGTGGTTAAATTGTCGTAAATATCTATCTACAGTAAATCCTTATAACAGGCATAATCTTCGTAAATATACTACGTTGTGTGGTAGTTACTAATTGATCAAGTACGCTGAAAGATTTTGCATGATGTTCATAGATACGTTGTGATCACTCTTTATAAGTACGTTATGAACTTTAATATCTTAATTAATACTTTAATGCACTGATGTATGTATTACGTATTAGGTATGTTACATTGTGGTCTCACACTTGTGTGGCAATGGCGGCTAGATTGATGTAAGTTTTACACAGCATTCATAGATACGTTATGATCAGTTTTTATGCGTTGTGTAGTTCAATAACTTTAACTAATACGTTGTGGTCTCAAATAAAGGGTGACATATATTTATATGCTATTGGCCATTTCTTACGTTGTGTTTTAATACGTTGTGGTCAAGATTCCTATAAGGAATGAAAGAGTTTAAAAAAAAAGGAAAAACGTGTGAAGAAACATGGTAACCTATAAATTAATTTTACTTTTTGGTGTATATTTGAATCTTTGCAGACAACGTGTGTTTTAGAAAATGTAGTTAAAGCGTTCCGAGGATGAGCTTGGAGAGAATGGATTATCACAGGCTGTTTTACGCCTGTAGTCAGTAAATAATGCAGCTTTAAACTTGTATATCGGGGTCTCCACCATAGTCCCGTATTTCTACCGTAATTAATAACAGTTAGTTTTATCGCCGTGGCAGACGCTGCTTACAAACATCGAACAAGGGTGGAGAGAAGGGCGGAGCTTGCGTTCTTTGCTACGATGAAGGGGTGCAAATGTATCGGTTAACCATCCCCGAAACAGCTAAACATCTAAATCGAGTAGCACATTTTAGGCGAATTCCGTAGAACACAGCTATTATATATTAAATTTGCGAATTACACGGCATTTAGAGCCATATTATGATCATAAATCATTCTCGATGCTGTCTCGCTAACTTTTAACTTAATATACGAAGAACAGCCGACCGGTTCGTTAATTTTACCCTCTTTCATTACACGGTTACATTTCATTTAGCGTTTGTTTTAAGAAACATCCTCGCCAAATTTACTTACGAAATAATTAAGAAAATTCTTTTTCTTTCTTGTTTTCTACGTCTTTTAAATTAAACCCTGTTTTTAATTTATCCTATTTAAGAACTTTGGATACAATTCTTCATGGCGTTATCAACATATATCTTTAAACTATAAATTAATTTAATTTTTAATTGTCACCAGTTATGACCCTC